CTGCATAATATAAATTGTGAGAAGAAGATATGGCAACTAGGTGTTTGATATGATATGGAAATAAGGTCTACAAATGGACCCTCACCAATTTGAATGACTAACAACATCAGATTGTACCAGACACTGTGTTACATAACAGCATTGTAACAAGAGATGCTTTTTCTTGACATTTGAAAAAAAATTCTGAACTTCTCATTTTTTCAGTAACATTTATTGTAGCAGATTATGTTTTAAGTGCTGTAGGGAGAGCAAATATTTATGTATGGTGGTTGTAAACATGTCATGTTAAAGAAATTCTGTATAGAGGATAAAATAGTCTGCTCGAAGCATTTTCCTTCATAAATAGTTGATTTACTTTTACTTTAGATTAAAACTATGGCAATTTTTTTCAATCTTTTTTTTTTGAGATCTTGTCTGAACAAGGGCTTAAGTTATCATCATTCAGCAATTTTAACACATTTAACATTGACAATTAAACTCTGAAGTTATACTGTGAAAGGATTATTTTTTTATTCATTATTATTTGTGGATTAATGATATTTATGGATGATGTGGGTATATTTGAACCATATATTTAAATATTCGACTAAATACAAATTTGCTTTAGGCCTATATAGAATTTGTGCATACTTCAAAATCCATTTTTTTGTAAATTCCCCATTAATTAGCAAAAGTAAGTGCATCTTGACAGTATGCTATATCCTTGTTTCAAAATTCCAATAGGGAACACATATTATATTATGAGGGTAGGAATGCCCTTTACCGTCAGGCGTCAAATGGTCATTTTCGGCTACCGTTAGCGTCAAATTGGTTAAAATTTTACCGTGATGTGATTCGTCAAAATATCCTTATCATGATTCGTCAGACGTCTCAAATAATTATCGTTACCGTTATTACTTATTTTTGGAAAATATTTAGCGTGATGCGTCAAAATCAGTCAATTTTTTTATCATCTAAAAGAAAGTGTACATTTTATCGTCATGCACCAAAAATTACTGTTAACGCCATTTGGCAAGAATTTTTACCGTTATCCGTCATGAATGTACCCCCATTACGACCCTCATATTATTGTAGTAAATAAACAGTTTGCTATTTGTAAAAACTAAAAACGGTTTTGTGCAGTATGAATTGTTTGTTGTTAATTGATTGAAATGGAAAGAAAATTGAGGGTAAATATTTTATTAGCTGTTGCATTCATTTTTTTCTATTACTAGTAACGCTATGTGCAGGTTTATATAAAGTAAAATTAGGGTCACAAATGTAGAAATTCTTCACAGAGGGAAAATTGTTATCAAAGTAATTTATTTTTAAATCTAAAAACCTTCATGGATGAAATATCATATGATTCAAAATATTTTGAAATGTATTTATTATTCTTTTGAAAAGTCTTTGTTATATTGAAAATAGGTTTGACCCAGATCTGATGAGATAGAAAATATTACGCTTTGATATGGTCACAAATCTACTGTTACCCATTGGAGATATCTGACTGATTTAAAAATTTATTGGGAAAACAGAAATAGCCACGTTTTACTTAGCTAGAAAAGACTTTAGTTAAAAGATTTTATAATTGAAGATTATTTCTAGTTGTGCAGATCTGGCAAATGAAAAGTGATATAACTTTCTCTTGTTCACTTAAATACCCTTTTGTAAGGCTTCATGACTACTTGAAAAGTTTATTACATTTAATATTATCTTCAAATATGTGTTGTGGACATAGCTTCTTTCTGTGATAGAAATAGAAAACAGTTGAGAACTTCTTTCTGTGAAATAAGTGATTGGGGTAAAAAGGGAAGCTTAATTAAGAGACATTTTCTTGAGTAAAATTTAGAACCTCTAATTTTTACTTGTCTATTAATTTCATATTTTATAAACTTTTTTGTAAGAGGAAGTAATTTTTTCTACACAAAGAAGCTGATTTTTTTGTCTAAAATTGTAAAAAAAAGAATAAATCTATATGTACATGTATTTCAAAAAAGTATTTATAAAATAGGGTAAATTTCACTTAATTCTATCTTTAACTCACTCATTATTAAAAATAAAATCAATCAAATTTGATCATTAATATTTCATTGGCATATGAGTTACATAAAATGGATTAAAGTTTTAAAATCAATAGACTCCATTGGCAGTCCTTAGGTTTCTTAAAGATGACAACAGGTAGGCTTCCAGGTAATTGACGATGATGGACAACCTTCCACTTAAACATTGACATCCTGTGTATGTAGTAATATTTGTTTATACTTAAGATCAATGGTTAAATTATCTGTATAATGAAAGGGAAACATATGGATGCTTAACGTACTTGCTTTCTTCAAATTTTGGAATTTAATGATTGGCTGATTTTTAGTGCTTTAAAGGACATTTTTTTAATCGGTATGTATTCATATATGTGTATTTCAATCAATTATATTTGGCAACGAAAGGAATTATTTCATAAAGAATTCAATTACAAAGTTAGAATTACAGTTTTTAGGTTTATTAAATTTTATTTATAAAAAATGGACAAAGGAGAAAATGTGATATGGGAGATACATTACATAACAAAGACCACATTATATAGTGTACGGTACTTACAAATTGTAACACCTGCCTAAATTATCATAGTTAGAGGTCATTAGAATGACATTTTGTTTTAAAAAGCACTTAAAAGAAAACATTAAATGCATAATAATACAGTAACCGTATTGATGAGAAATAACATTACTACCAAAGACAAGTTATAATTTACACCTGTATTTAAGTTTGATCTGCTTTTAGTAAACTACTTTTTTTTGTGAATTCAAAAAAAATAACATAACAAAATTGTAAAAACTTCATTTAAACAAACTAATCAATACTTGTAGTAATATGTCCTCAAAAGTATAACAGAGAACCATGCAAACTTCCTGAAAATAGTGGACCTTAGCTTACTATGCCCAAGGAGGTTATCTCATATAACCTCTTTGCTATGCCATATGACTGACGGTGACCTAGAGTTGCTTACATCTATTTTTTTTTGTTTCTTGTGCATACTTGTCTCATTGGCAATCATACCTCATTTTTTTATTTTAATACTCATGACATAGACAGATTTTAATAAAATATAGTAAGTCCCCACAACCCCAACCCTCACCTAAGATCAACAGGATGAATTACAAACTGGTTACAGTTACATAGTCTTCTATAACATGAAAACCATTTTGGATTTTGTAATAATTTGGAATCATAATATAGTCTGAAGGGTTTTTCTAAAGATTATTGTCTATAGGCTATTTAGGCTGTAGCTTGATTTTAAGGAAGAACTTAAAGTAACTTTAAATTTTGAATTTGAATTTTCATCAACTGCTTGTTGTTTCATCTATAAAATTTCATATGAACTGACTGACCAAATCCTAAAAAAACTGATCAGAGGAAATTTACCGCTAGTCTCCTATAAATATTGACATTAGGTCTGTACCATCCTGATATCTGCCCTAAGTATGACAACAGCTTCAGGTTAGAGAATCTAAAGAAATACACATACATTAGGTTAGTTATGTATGTATCATTTCATTGGAATTCTCCTGGTATTTTAAACATAAGTCTTAAAGGAAATTACTGTACATCATCATACATGTTAAGGTTAAGTTAAAAACTTTAAGACTTTGTGGTTACCTATATAAATTTATTTTTATATCTCCATAACTGATATCTATATTTTAACAAATTGAGTGCAATACAGTGTGAAGATTTCTGTGAAATAATCTAATGGTAATTAGAGAAAACTAAATCAATGGAGAAACTCACAATTTGACTTCAGACATTCATTTTAGAGTCCACTTCATTATGTACCCTAATTTACCTATGTCTTTCCAAACTTTTGGCCCTAAGAATCAGAAGTGTTTTAAAGAATTGTGATGATAGATCAAATAAATATCCTGAACTACATTAGATGGTCTGTCATTGTAGATAGATCCACAATGTTGGTTATTTAATTTTATAAGAGTGAAGAAACCTTCATTATTTGGTTGTCATCCAAATTCAAAGGAACATGTCAGTGAAGCAACAAATAATCAAACTGTAAAATCTGAGATATCAAATGATGATTTATAATTATCAGCAGTTTTTATTTGTCCATGTACAAAATGAAATATTACATTGAATGATTTAAGTGTATCATTAAGTACACATAGTCTTTTAAGTACAAGAATCAGAGGGTCTATTAACAATACAATGTATAGTAATATTAACACATTGTCTTTATAATAAGATACAATGTAAAAACATATGCAGTTAATAATAATGCAGTAACCTCATTTGTTGGTACATTTCCTTTTGTTTCCTGATTGTGATTCATCGACATGTTTTTTACAAGAAAACTGAACCAATTGTACTTTATATACAATTGGCTAGTCTTCCAAATTCCTAATATTATTTCCTGTATATGAGGCTATAAATGACAACAAGCAGGCATTTATGACAACGAACTGCATTACATTATGACATATTATGTGAAATCAACAATAAATTTTACTTGAATGACTAGTCAAATTTCTTTTGAATGTTGATTAGAAATTTGTAGACAAAACATTTCTCATGTTAATGGTTGGAATGAGTCTCATTTTTGTTGTCTTTGATAGAAAAGAGATCTATAAAATTACTCCCTAAAATGGTCCTCATGGGAAATCAATACTTGAAATGTATTTTCTGAAATTTATGATGATTAAATAAGGTATAAAATTTAGGAATAATTTAGGACTATTATACTAACTATATATATATATATATACATATATGTACAAAGAATAAGAATCTGGAATACAATTTTCCTTTAATTTGATGTTTAATTGAAATTTTAAGTAAGTGTTGTGTATATGATGGTTTTGTAAAAAAAAAAAATTGTAACATCTAATCTAATATAAGGATTTTTTTTCAAAATCATGCTATTTGATATGAATAAAGTTCTAAATTATGATAAATATTACAATTCCTTAAGAAAAAATGGTTTAAAAAATTAATCTCTGATTTTAATTTTTCAGATAAAGCGACTGTTGCCAAGTGGTGCTGCAGCAAGAAGCAGAAAACTTAAAGTTGGTGATCGACTTGTTTCGTGCAACGGAATACATTTGCGTGGAATTAACCAATCAAAGTGCTTATCTGTTTTGAAATCTGAAGCAAATAATGGAGATTTTGAAATAGAAGTTTTACGTCCAGTTGAAAATGGCATTCCAACAGAATTTTCATTGACCGTATCAAATGGCAATAGTGGTGAAACTAATCTAATTCTCAAATCACCAAGACATAGTAGGAAAATTGAAAGGACTTCTTTTGATTCAGAAAGTGATCCTGAAGTAGTACTGAACAGTTTCCAAAATTCTAGTAATAGTTTTGTTTCAAACTCTGTAAAGTTACCATTAGAAAAATCTGATCAGGAAACAAGTTATACCTCAGATGTCAGCACTGATTTAGAATCAAGTTTTGAGCAGGATTTAAATAGAAGAAGAAATAGGCATTCAGAAATGGCAAGTGAAGAACAGTGGAGCTTTGCACTACCACCACCCGTGGAATTTTCCGATGGCCCTGAAAATGGACAGGATGAAGAGGAGATCCCTGTGACTAGTATAGATGATGTTCTTAATGAATATTCTCCATCTTGTTCTAATATGAGTACACCTATTCACCAACCAACATCTCCACCACAGGACATGAAAATGATTGAAGCATTGGTTGGTTTAGAAGATGAAACTGATGTATCATCAGAATTTCCATTGACGAATATCGAGGAAAGTCCTCTAGAGCAAGTAAACAACATCAACAGTGAACAATTGATTGAAAATGGTGATTCTGACGAACATCCTACTGAAGTAGAAGACAATTATCTCGATTTACAAAAAGAGGATAAACAAACAAATTACCTAAATACCAATGGAGATTTATCGAATGGTCAGCAAAATAACCAGGATAAAGAAGACCATGTTGATTCAAAACAAGTAGAGAAAAAATCAGAACAGAAAACCAAGAATTTTTTTAATCTTGTTGGAAATATTCATCAATTTTATTACAATTCTAGTGATGCTTTATCACAAAGTGAAAGTGGAGATGATGACCTTATCCAGCCGGTCAGAGTTAAGAAAGAGTTGGTTGTCCCTGATTATATTCAAGAACACTCAAAACTTAAAAAAGAAGTTGTTGAAGAAGAGGCCATTGCCCCATCAGCCATTGAAAGAAATAATAAAATACCTGTTTCTGCTACCTTTGATGTGAACTCATTTACTGAGGTCAAAAAGGAGGACATTCTTCACCCTATGAAATCAGACTCTCCTCCTTTACCAGAAATAAAGAAAAATAAAACTCCAAAACCTCGGGCACCAACAGAAGTTGAATTTAATGGGGAAGAAATTGTTGAAACTTTTACTCCTGTCCAGGCAAACAGAGAAAATTATTCTAAGCTTTTAGAAGAGAAGCTTAGTAGGGGTATTGAAGAAGAATCAATAGTTCCTTCTGAAGTCAAAAGAGATGATTCTTTTGGTGATAAGGTTCAACTGTTAATGATGACAAATCGTTGGGCTAGTTCTGCAAAAGAGAAATCCGATAAAAAATCCACTGATATAACTTTCTCAGGAATGGTTCAGCATTTACAGAATGCAGAGCCACATATTGACAGTTCAGTTACTGTTAAAAACCAGGATGTTAATGTAGAAAAGGCGGAGCAACCTGCAAAAGAGGAGGATCAACTATTGAGTAAATTGGATGTGACACAAACAGAATCATTAATAAATAAACTTGATAAATCTGTTGAAAACCAAACTGAAAATAGCATTCAACAATCAAATAAAGAACCTGGGGAACATAAGACTGAAATTTCAGTTACAGCACAAAATAAAAGGGAAACTGTCAACATTTCTAAAGCAGAAAATATTACAGATGCAGAAGTGGATAAAAATTTAACAAAATCTGACACTGATGCTACACCAGTTCATAAAACTACTGTGGCTGTTACTAATTCACAAAGCATTCTCAAAACTGTTCAGGCTAAGACAACTACCTCGTCCACAATCAAACCTCTATCAACCATTAAACCATTGTCATTCAGCACATCCTCTCTCAACCGACCAGCTACCGGTAGATACTCTAGTACAATAAATACAGGATCCAAACCATCACTCTTATCAACAATATACAGTAAGACACATGCAGTGTCAGCTAATGTAAGAACAGAGGATCAGCAATTTCTTGTCAGCGTTATGAAAGGAATTCTGGGAATAGGAATGAAAGCTGAAGTTCGACCGGAAGGATATGTTCAAGTGACCGAAATACAATCTAATGGACCTGTTGGTAAAGATGGAAATATCAGGTAGAAAATTTATAACTTAGTTCGTTGAAATATTAACTTGTTATACATGTATCATCATATGAGGACCTTATTCAAATCCTAAAAAATCTTATGAGGACATAAATTCAAATAGAGTATCATTTCAGGCAGACCTGCCAACTATCCTGTTTATAGGGGATATCCCCATGAGAGGGGTTGACCTGAGTTTTGAAATTCTTTATTATATAAACTGAACACCTCAAAACAGGCATTCAAATGATTGAAATGGGTATTTTAGCAGATATCTTCTCATTCAAACATATATTGGTAGATTAAAAATTTTATGACAATATAAGAGGAGCATTAGGTTCTCTTGCAATTAAAATCCCCCATGGAGATTTTGAAAAGTTGGCAGGTATGTTCAGGACTTTATTCAAATGTAGTCTATCAAATGGGGACTTTATTCAAATATCATGTCAATCATTTTAGGACTTAATTATATATTAATCATGTGAGGATCTTTCTCAACACTACATACTGTTCTGAGTAAAGGATGAAAATGATCTTTGCAGAAGTAAACAAAAAATAACTTGGTAAACATTAACTTGGTGATTCAAAGTTTTCATTCTAGCTGTCATTTCATTGAAATCTTTGTGGATGTTTCCTCTGACTGTCATTCCAAGGTTTTATTGAAAGTCCCATTAGTTTTCATAGAAAAGTATTGAAAATCATAATTATGGCTTGAATGGCAGTTTGATGATGCTGTAGGTTTTTTTTTAATAAAAAAGATAGACTCAACATATAGATTTTTTAAATTTGATGCAAATATCACTTATTTCTTTTGACAAGAAAGTGAAGGTCAAACTTGTATGTTATCTTGTACTTGATCAATGTTAACAATACCATAAGAGTGCACAGATGTTGTGCAATATTTGTATACTTGAGGCATTTTTTAATGTAGACAAGATTTTATAGTTAGAAAGTGTATTGAATGAAAAAGATATGGGAGAGCAATTGGAATTTCCACCTATATAAAAATAAGGAGATGTGTTATGATTTCCAATGAGACAATTATCCACCAGAGTTAAGATAAGGAAGATAAAAGTTATATGATCTGCAGTAATTAATTAAAGCATGTATTCTCAAAGAGTTTTATCAACTGAAATAAAAAAATCAGATTTAATTAATCTGCATATTACATCAGAAATTTAAAACAAATTGTTTATGTATAACATCATGTTTTACAAAAGTTAGAATTACACTTACATTACCAAAATACAGAAAAAAACAGGCTTTATGCAAACAATGAGTACAAATAATATCAAAGAGTTTTTTGTCCTTGCTTTTATTTTTAAGCTGTGAAAAAATATAAAATAAGGGAAATTAGTTTCTGCTTTCGTTTAAAGAAGCATAACAATGGACTTTTTTGTTTTACTATTGAAACTACAATTTTAGATACAAATATGAACTACAATTGATTTAGTATGTTTTCTTTATAGTTAAGAGACCATATACAATAATTTGATATTTTTCTTTTGTTTTGAGTATACTAACAAACAACAATGATATTTGTTTACTTATTTTAGGGTAGGTGATTATATCTTATCCATCAACAGTACAGAACTGACTGGTTTGCCTGATCATAAAGTACAACAGATTATACGATTACTACCCAGAGGACTTGCTAAGATAGTCGTCAGTATCACACCTCCAGATGTCACTAAAATAGGTAATCATACACAGGAGACATGCTATACATGTACTTAACAACTAGATATAAGTCTAAAAAGTATTGGTATTTTTATAAGTTATAATTAGATAATTCTCACTAAACTTCACGAAAATAGATGTGTAAATTCAGAAATTTGTGGTTGCATTAATTATTGCGATTGTTGTTCAAAGTACAAATAACTAAGGTAAAATGTAGTGATTTTAGGAAATTCTGCATAAAAATTTTAAAATAAATGCGAGTTTTTTATTCTAACCTTTCTCAATTTTTGCAATAATTGAAATCTTGCAAGAATTTCTGAATATAAAGTATTTGCTTTGTTGTATTGATTTTGTACCTGCATCATCATTTTTACATCATTGCCATAAATATCTCTAAATTCTCCGGTAATCAGCTGTTTCATTTAAGCAAGTAAGATCCTTAATAAATTAAAGATAAAATGACTAGTTGCATGAGAATATAGATGTTTTGTTGACTGAGAGAGTCATGTTTATCTATACTAAGCATTGTAATTGTATAATTGTTGAAAACATTGATTGTTAATTGACCTCTCTGATTTAATATTACAATCTTCTATCATTAATCTTGTAGCTAAGTTGCATGGTCAAAAGCTATTTAATTATCAATGAAGTTTTAGATGAAATTCACAATATTTTAACAAATATTTAACATTCTGTTTTACAGATAGCTCAAAATCAGTATCTCGGCCACCAGATTTGTCAATAAATACAAGTTCTACAGCACTTAGACGCTTATCACCAGCTCTTAGTCCAAAAATGATGATGAGTGAGGCAAAAACAACCAGTCCAAGAAGTAGCTATACATCACCAACTGTCAAGGCATCATCACCAACTGTCAAACCGGCATCACCAACTATGACAAAACCAGTATCACCAGCCTTGTCCCCTTCTCATCACCATGTTTCACCAACAAGTCAACAATCTCCAAATGCAGCTCCAAGATCGCCCGGTTTGGCCCCTGCTTTAGCTCCAAGAAAGTCATCTCCTCAACAGACACCACCAAAACCTGTTGCCATTCCAAGACAAACTGTTACACATGATGCAAGGGAATTAGCAGCTGACCAGGAACCAGTTAAGCCTCCCGTATCACAGAGGAAACCAGTAGAAGACACCATGAGCTCAGACACTGTAACAAGTACAAAGAAAGAACCCCCACCTGTTGCTCCTAAACCCAAACCAAGATCTCTGCCACAACAGACTGAAACAGCCACTCATCACAAAATAACTCCTAATCTTGGTGGATATGTCAGCTCTGCTGTAGGTCAGCTCAAAAAGGGTCATGAACCAGTCAGTGTTGATAAAGAACCAGTAATTGCATCGCATCATACAGATTATGTGTCATCTGCCAGAAAGGCAAGCCATGATACAGAAGACAACAAACCAATGAAAACCGTTATATTTGCTTCTATCAACTCAAGTCAGAAAACAGATTATGTTTCATCGGCTAGAAAAACCTTTGATGAGCCTAAATTAATTCCATCAGGAATGGTAGATTATGTTCCTAAAGAAAAACCTAAAGCTGCAGAGAGAACAAAGCCTTCACATTTCCAGGTTTTGGCACCCAATGGTGGATCAGAAGGAGGAGTGAAAATTACTGGTGCTAGGCTGAATTCTGCTCTCAGTCCAAGAAAGGGGAGGTCAGAAAATAAAACCACTTTTAATTTCAATGCCAAATTTTCATCTGAAGATAAAGCATTACCAAGAGCTGGATATTTTGTGGGTAAGCCTGATGTTGTCAACTCACCAAAAGACATAGAATCACTGCATGATGACGATGTATCTGTCCCACCAGTCCCTTCACCAAGGGCAGACAACTCACTTAGTCCATCTGCCTTGTCACCAAGATCAGATACTTCCATGTCTTCACAAAATTGGTCACAAAAATCACCTATTGCATCACCAAGATCACCAAAGAGCGATTCGCTGAGTTCTTCACCTAGATTTAATCTCTCTTTATCACCAAGAAAAGATGATTCACAGATTGATGTTGCATGTTCACTAGAAGACAATATGTCTTCTTCACAAGAAAATCCTACCAGTTTAAGGTTAGAGTCAACAGCGCCATCTACAGTGTCGTCAGTTACAGTAAAATCTGGTGAAGAAGTTGAAATTAGTCATGAAAATGTTTTAGATATTTTAGAAGTGGAAAATAAAGAAAAATCAGAACTAAACTTTTCAGATAAATTGCCATCAAATTCTGACAAACATTTGTATAATGATGCTTTTGGTGTGGTGCATGAAGCTGAAATTGTTTCAGATTTTACTATTAATCAAGAATCAATGCCTGAAAATGACTTTCTTACACATAATATTCAGACAGAAATGCATGGGGAATCTGACAATATATTTACCTCTTCTGATAATACTAATACTTTAAATATAGAATTTAACAAAATTGATGATTTTGATACAAGGGAGATTACTCCTGTCAAATCCTCTGTGGAACAAGGCACTGAAGAAACTGGGCATACTCAGAGTGACCTTGATCCTTGCATGAACTTACCAATACATGTGGAATCACAGGCTACATGTAATAATGTTGCCATGGAAACAGGAGACATTTCTGGTGAAAGCTCTAATACCAAAGGTGGAAGTGAAAATCAAAATTCAAGTGTGCAATTAATTTCTGATTCAGAAAATGTTTCTTTTCTGCAGGAGTCTCACGGATCAGAAGATCAGCCAACTGGTGCAATTTTAGAGGATAATTCAAATGTTACTGTAGATAAAACATATTCAAACATTAATCAGGATATCATAGACAATATAGTTGTGGAGAGTGTTCCTCCTGGATTCAGTGATGAAGTTGACAATGTAACAAACAATGAAATTCATCATCTGGATCCATCAAATCTGACTGATGTTTCTGTCCCTTTAACTCAAAGTAGTGCTGAAAAATTTATACTTGATGTTTCATTCCCTTCATACTGTGTTAAATTCCCTCTCATCAGTGGTTCAGACAGTGATTTAATTGTGGTGTCTAGTCAAAGGCCATTTTCTATCATTTGTGGAGAACAGAAAGTTTCTGTGAAATCAAAATCAAATTGTTTACAAGACATTGTATTGTGTGAATTATTGGTATCTACCCAAATGTTGTCAAATGATTTATTATTAGCCAATCAGAAGATGGACTCCATAGGCAGATCAAACAATGAAGAAATTTCTGTGATACTTCTTCACCGGAAAAGCAGCAGAACCCCCATTGGAATAAACCTTTCTTCAGGGCCTAATGAAGATATGGTGGTAAGTTAAAACTAACAGTAGAACCCCCATTTGAATAAACCTTTCTTCAGGGCCTAATGAAGATATGGTGGTAAGTTAAAACTAACAGCAGAACCCCCATTAGAATAAACCTTTCTTCAGGGCCTAACAAAGATATGGTGGTAAGTTAAAACTAACAACAGAAACCCCACTGGAATAAACCTTTCTTCAGGGCCTAACGAAGATATGGTGGTAAGTTAAAACTAACAACAGAACCCCCCATTGGAATAGACCTTTCTTCAGGGCCTAACGAAGATATGGTGGTAAGTTGAAACTACAAATTAAAATCTATTAAAGAAAATATATTTTGACTTGAAATTTTTATACGGACGCAAAAAAAATTTGCAGTCGTATATTGGTACGACGTTGGCTTTGTCGTCGTCCGAAGACACATTGGTTTTCGCACTCTAACTTTAGTTTTTAAGTGAATGGATCTCTATGAAATTTTACCATAAGGTTCAATACCACAAAAGGAAGGTTGGGATTGATTTTGGGGGTTATGGTACCAACAGTTAAGGAATTAGGGGCCAAAAAGGGGCCAAAAATAAGCATTTTTGTAACTTCCAGACATAACTTGTGTGTTAGTGTATGGATCTCTCTGACATTGTACCACAAGGTTCCATATCACAAAAGGAATGCTGGGATTGATTTTGGGGGTAATTGCCTCAAAATTTTAGGAATTAGGGGCCGAAAAAAGGGGCAAAAAACAAGCATTTTTCTAGTTTCATGACAATAATTTGTGTGTAAGTGTATGGATCTTTCTGAAATTGTACTACAAGGTTCCATATCACAAAGGAAAAGCTGGAATTGAGTTTGGGGGTAATTGCCCAAAACGTTTAGGAATTAGGGGCCAAAAAGGGGCAAAAAATAAGCATTTTTCTAGTTTCCAGACAATAACTTGTGTTCAAGTGTATGGATCTCTCTGAAATTGTACTGCAAGGTACCATACCACAAAGGGAAGGCTGGGATTGAGTTTGGTTGTGATGAATCATAAGGGGGTTCAAAAAATTGGGGGGTGGGGGGGGATTTTTTTTTTCCTTTTTTTTCCTTTAAAATTTTCCATTTTAAATTGGTTATTTCTGATTTATATATAAAAGCAAATAATAATGATATGGTTTGAATAGGTAAATTAACAAATTTTTAAGTTCTTAGACCACATTCATTCTTTGTCAGAAACCTATGCTGTGTCAAATATTTAATCACAATCCAAATTCAGTGCTGTATCAAGCTTGAATGCTGTGTCCATAATTGCCCCAACTGTTCAGGATTCAACCTCGGCGGTCATATCAAGCTGCGCCCAGCGGAGCATTTTATTGTTTTAAGTAATTAAATGTCTTTTATTTCCAATAATTCTTAAAAATTAAGCTGTATAGATTTACCCCTTTCTATTAAATTGAACATACAAATGTACTTTGCTGTTTTATGCTAAGGTCTATATATATATAATCATTTTTCAGAAATCAATGATAGTTTATCAATGATATATTTAACCTCTCAATACTTCTAATATTTCTCATTATATAAATTATTCCAAAATTTGCATTTTGTATCAGGATTTCCTTAATTGAGGGTTGCTTTTACAAGGAAGCTACTGAACTTCATGTTTAATCACAGAACCAAGGGTTTGCTATGGTAAAATTAAAGTCATTAGTTTCATGGTTATTTAATGTAAGATAAGCTATTTTGGAACCTTCATTTCATGCATGCAGTTAAAACATCCAGGTACCGGGAAAACTGGATTCTTAATTTGTTCAAGAGAACATCCTGAGATATTAAAACAATTTTATAGGATTAATTTAGAAATTTCTCAGATGAAAAGTAGTGGAAAAAAATGTTTGTTGGGTAAATATAAACCCAACTAAAATGCTTTATCAAAAATATACACATAAAACATGTAGAATGTATACAGCATTCAGTGTTGGACAAGCTCTCACACCCCAAAAACAGCTACTTCTAAATCAGCGTGTATAGACAAATTATGAAAGAAAAACTGTTAATAATTGTCATTTCACAGAAAAATGCACCATTTGCAATGAAGAAGTCTTTTGTGCACATGCTTCCACTTTTTATGACTAGTTGTTATGAAAATAATGAAGGTGTTGATGACTTAATAATGCTAAGATTTTAATTATTTTATCAGGTTTCACAGCTAGATCCCTCGGGACTGTTTCAACAGAGTGGACATATAAAAACTGGTGACACAATATTACTTATTAATGGAGAAATTGTCAGTAAGGACAATGCAGATGCAATCTTGCAATCACTTGAGAATTCAGAGTCCCATTTGGTTTGTGTAGTTATCTCCCATAGTACAAGTTTACAGACAAAGGGAGATAACTCAATTCCTACATCTGATACTAGTTTGCCACACAGTCCAACAAGTGATGAAAATGCAAACAAAAAGAGTAAGTTTTAATCATCAAGTTATCCCGATAAATGGTCATTTACAAAGGCAAAGCTGAATATAATTTTGAGTTTGTTAGTTATTCTGTTTAGATTCGTATCTATTTTATGTTATTACATAGTTTTCCAACTAGAACCATTTCAATTTTCACAGAAAGTTTATACATATAGTGAAGTTTGGCAAGCCCCATAATGATATTGTGCGAGCAATTTACTTCCCTTTTCAAATCTTTGGAACATAAACATTTTCTGCTTGAGTTACCAGGAGGGTACTGTTACCTGTTTAGTGTTCTCCTGCAATAGTTTGTAGACCAGGGCTGATATGCATAAAACTACTTCAGTTAAGATTTGTTCCGAACAGGTGGAATTTTCTACATGTCCTATGATAAATTAGTACAATGATTGGATATATCAACTTAAGTGGTTTTATGCATATCAGCCCAGATGCTTAGAACATAAATGTACATATATTGAAGTTTGTGCACTTTTTTTCAGACTTAAACTTTCAAATTCCTAGTTTTTAAAAAAATTTCTGTCTTTTCAGTACAGAGAGTTATTTATAATCTAGGAAAAAAAATCATTACTTGTAAAATGATTAGTTTATCAAATTATTTTAAATTTCCTTCGTATTTGAAAATTTTATTTTGATGACTTTCATTTTCCTTCATAGAAGTAAGGGAAAAAATTACATAAATGTTTTAGCCCTGTATTTAGCAACAGTCTTCTATCTTATTCTACAGTTTTATTAGGTTGAATTTGAAATCATTTCCTAGTATCTCTTAGCAACACCAATAAATGTACTACTACATTCCAGTCTAACTACAACATGTAAGTAAGTCGGCTTGGTCTTGGAACTTTTTGCTATTCTGTGATTAGTGTTTTTTCTTAGCTATAGATTTTGAGAATTATCAAATAACATTGATAACTAATTTTAAGCTTGTGTTTTACCTTGCTACAAATTTCTAGATAAACAATGTGCAGTTTTTGTGTGTATATGTGTGTTTCAAACGTTCCTTTTTATTAAAATTGGATAATTGCTTCTAGATGCTAAAATTTCTTCCTTTGAATAATTCAGATATACTTTTACACAGTATGATTTCAAATAAATTGTGGCGTAATAATGTAATAAGAATTTTAAATGATTTATGAAAACATATTTAAAACAAAAACAAAATTGTTAAATGAAGTTAAGTTCATTTATTTTAGTCTCATTATCATGAAAAAAATATAACATTCTTCATATTACATTTATTAGCTTATTTTCCATTGATCATCGTATCCACAGTAGGTTCATGTAATTTGTCATCTAGTTTGACCCTTAAGACTTCCAATATTGTAATTTGTCATCTAATTTGACCCTCAAGACTTTCAATACTGTAATTGTCATCTTCTTCAAATGTATTAACACTTTATATTATAGATTTACTTTTCAGTATTATTTTTGCACTGCACATCTCAAAATTTTAAATAATAATATTCAAATAGGAGTTTAAATTCTTTGTTGGGGAAAAATCATGATTTATTCCTCACATCTCCGTTATTTTTATATTTATGATTGTCAGTTTTAGTTCACTGTTGTACATAGATGATCAACTTTGCAATTCGTTTAAAAAAAGAAAATTTTAATTTCATAATCACCTTTTTGTACCGTTTACATTTATTTAAAGCATTTTTTTCCTAAAACATAAAGATTACCTTGCATAAACTTAGAAAAAGGTTTGAACCAAACTATACTGTTATTATAAGATCCCTTTAAATTAAGATTAGTATTTGGTTTAGATCTGCTTGAAAGTGGAAGAAAAAAAAACATTTCTGCTCTGATAAGTTTACCGCTGACGCTTATATTGTGGTTGTGCTATAAGTATATATTTTGTATATTTTTTAGTTATACCAGATACAGAAGCCAATTCTGATGGCCTATTAGAACTCACAATGGTTAAAGGAGTTACTGGACTTGGTTTTCTTATTGAAGGAGGGATAGGATCCCCCAGGGGAGATGTTCCTGTCAAAATCAAAAGAATGTTTAAAGGAGGTTCTGCTGCCAAGTGTGGTGTTTTGAAAGTTGGAGATGAACTTGTTACAGTAAATGGTACAGAAATGTCAACAATGAGACACACAGAAGCATGGAATTTTCTTAAGTTTTTGAATGATGGAGATGTCAAATTGACAGTGAGAAGAGCTCCAGAACAACTGTAGAAATATTTCATTTTGGACAAATTATGCATTGTTATATCTCAAATATTCAATTTAAGCACAAGCTTTGAAATAATAGACTGTTGCAAAACACAAAATGGTCAGTATATATATATGCACTACACCTAATGGTCAGTATATATATGCACAACACCAGTCTAGGATTGCAATTTCTTTAATGTCTCATAATTTTAACCAGACTGTTGAAAATTTAAATACTGACAATATTTAAATTCTCAATATATTCTGATTAGTTAATGATAATAAAAATTACTCTAAAAAATTTCTCTGAAATCCATCATAGTCTTAGCATACAAATATAGCACAAAGTGTTTGTGACTTACATGTAATTTTGTGTCTAATAAATAAGTTGTCATATGATTTCTTTTATTTGTCTCATTTTTAACTAAATATAAATATTATTCATTTATTGTGATCTACGTCTCAGTTTATTTTTTTCTGTATTAACATCCTATAAAAAAAAGTGTCATATTGTCTTTCGTTATTACATTGTAGTATATATTTTTTTCAGTCTACTAGAACTATAATGAAGTTGGGAAAAAATATTGCCATCATATCAATATAAATAGACTTTCATATATGTACAGTAATAAATTTACATTTAAAGCATAAAAAGGCTGACTATATTTAATTTTATTTTTGCAAAATGTGATACAAAATTTGCCTTAGAGAGCCAGACAAGGGAGATAATCTGACTAATTTCTCTAATGAACCAATTAATTTTAATTTTGTCTCAATAAATGTTCATATTTCAGACTTTCCTTGGAGTTGTTGACATTCCCATGTATACAGTGTATAAGTATTTTTCGATTATTTTTAAATTACTCTTTATGGTAATGAATAACTTGTTAAAACATCTAACAGAATTATATATTCTTATAATTTTTGTTAATTGGAAATGATCATTTATTTGAAAAAAGTAAACCAATGACTTAATTGTCAAGAAGTGTTTAATAAGATACACATATATATATATACCCATTGTATGACAAAACTATTGTTCTACAAATATACCTGATTGTTGTTTTCTTTGTTTTGTTATTGCATAAGAATTTTTTGTAAAGGGATATGTAAATGTAATATATAATATATTATTTATATACATAATAATTTAATTATTGCATATAATATATAAATGATATGAAATATTAAAGAATTGAAATTATAAATGGACTTCTTTATATTGAATTTCAAAATAGGCATTAATTGGTATATAGAAAAAAGTACATTCTTATTTTGTCACTTATAAACCAAAACTACAAAACAGAATTTTTTTTTTCTGTCAATGATCAATATAAAACGGGGGAGTTTCTACCACAATTTTTTTTTTGTTATCCGAAAAACTCATAAAATTAAAAGGCTTATAATTTTGCACACCAGATGCACAAGTTGTTTATGTAAGAGACTATATCTGTGAAACAGACCTAATTGAAGTACAACAAGAGTGCACACGCTGAAATGTCTCGCCTTCTTTACTGACCATTGATTTTATGTTGATAGTCCTAAATATAAAGCTTTACTAAAAGTATCACATAAACTTAACATGATCCAAGAAAATGAGGTCAAGGTCAGATAAACCAAACCGGAAATACATGTACACCTTACAATCAATCTATGCATTAAATATAGTTGACCTATTGCTTATAGTATCTAAGAAACAAACTTAACCATGAAAACTTAACATTGACCAATGAACCATGAAAATGAGGTCAAGGTCAGATGATATCTGCCAGACAGACATATACACCTTACAATCATTCCATACACCAAATATAGAAGACCTATTGCTTATAGTATCTGATATATGGACTTGACCACGAAAAACTTAACAATGTTCACTGATCCATGATATGAGGTCGAGGTCAGATGAAAACTGTCTGATGGGCATGAGGACCTTGCAAGGTACGCACATATTAAATATAGTTATCCTATTACTCATAATAAGAAAGAAATTAACATTACAAAAAATCTTCTCTTTTTTTCAAGTAGTCACTGAACCATGAAAATGAGGTCAAGGACAATGGACATATGACAGACGGAAACTTCACATAAGGCATCTATATACAAAGTATGAAGCATCTAGGTCTTCCACCTTGAAAAATATAAGAAGTTTGCTAACGCCGCCGCCGGATCACTCCCTATGTCGAGCTTTCGGCAACAAAAGTCGCAGGCTCGACAAAATCTGAACATTGGCCAATAAAAATGAGGTCAAGGTTAGATGAAGCCTGCCAGACAACATGTAATCATTCCTTACACCATACAGCATTGACCTATTACTTTAATATAATATAGTATCTGATAAACTGAAAGAACCATGAAAACTTTACAATGACCAATGAACCATGAAAAAGTTGTCAAAGTCATATAAAACCTGCCAGACAGACATGTACACCTTACAATCATTGCATACAAAATTAATGGGGAATGTGTCCATGGGACACAGATGATGCCCCCGCTTGCATATCATATAAAGTTATAAAGGGACATAACTGAAGAACGGTAAAAGTGACACTACCCAAATTTGTACTTGATCTGAGTTTTGTAGTTATAAGTATTGTGTATAAGCTTAATAAAATTTGGTTGAGGCAAACTTAAGTTAGAGAACGGAAACGAAAAATTCAGCAATTTTTTCTTTTGAAAAGGGGCATAACTCTAGAACGATTAAAGTGACACCACCAAAATACAAACTTGATCTGTATTAAATGGTATGAGTTTCATAACATTTGGTAGAGGCTAACTTAAGTTAGAGAACGGAAATGAAAAATTCAGCAATTTTTCCATTTGTAAAGGGGCATAACTCTAGAACAGTTAAAGTGACACCACCAAAATTCAAACTTGATCTGTATTTTGTGGTAATAAGCATTGTGTATAAGTTTCATAACATTTGGTTGAGGCAAACTAAAGTTAGAGAACGCAAACCAACTTTGGGACGTACGGCGGGGGCATAAAAATATAGTGCATTAGTGGCCTAATTGCTTACAGTATCTGGGTGAATATGCGCAATTAATTTCAGGTAGGCGGTAATGAAAGCCTTTTCCTCAATTCCTGTACCCACATCGTAAACTTGGATATGTATGATAGCTCATTTCGTAGCTGAGACATTTTCACATATATGTTTAATTTTCAGGGTAGAAGTGAGATTCATTTTTCCGTAATTAAGCACACCCCCAAAAAGTCTTTATCATATACTTAGTTGTAAATACAGGTAAATTGTATGTGTAATACAATTGATGATAATCTTGCTGTATCAGCCATCCGTGATGATATCGATATCAGTCACGGTTGCCAAGGCTTTATCAAACCCCTAATCTGTATGACGTCACGTTATTGATATTAGTTACGGTTACATAAGCTTTATCAAACCCCTAATATGTATTACGTCATGTCTTGTGAAAAATACATGAGAGATTAGTTGTACTTGAGGTACATGTATATAATAAAGTGTATATGATATGGCTTCTTCAATATCACACACCGTATCAACCCTCAACCAATATAATCCCTCGAGCAGAGCTCTTGTGATTATATTGGTGTCTCGGGTTGATACAGGTGTGATATTGAAAAAGCCATATGATATTCTCTATGTATACTTTGTCTCATACTCCAAAAATAATTTCATATTGAACTTGCTTTTTTATTTCATTAGTATTAATTATACAATTCATTCAATACTTTTGAAGCATTTTTTATGTGAACGTTTTCTTAAGTGACATGTTTATGACCCAATTAACACCTTTGGTGTTCGTTAATCTGTTGATCATTCGATCTCGGGTAATTAGTGTCATCACTTCTGATTACATGTGTGAAACAATTAAAACGATTACTTTGCAATTTCCTTCAACCTAGACAATTTGTTTGATGAATGTTGTCAGTAATGAAAGATGAACAAGTAAGTTAAAATTAACACCTTATTTTGCAATATCCCACAAATAATTATAAAACAACATATGATTATTTTCAAACACATTCTTTTCTGATAGCTTCAATTCTTCACTCCATTTTTTCTAAGAAAACTATAATCCACAAATTTAAAAACCCATGAACATGTAACTTTTGCTCAAACCACGAAAATTGATACCCACGAATAAAAGTACTTTCACAGTATGTAAGGAACAAACTCTTGCCCAATCATAGGTATAATGAAGATTCCAAGTATCCTCAAATGGGAAGTGACAACCAGGTAACTCTATAAATCATAGGTATAATGAAGATTCCAAGTATCCTTAAATGGGAAGTGACTACCAGGTAACTCTATAATTCACTTACATGGTACAACTCAACATTATAAAGTTGCAGAACAAATATAAACCATTGCTTAATACAGTAGCTGAGTAATGTTCCATACTTAGTGGAGGGGGGTTGAGTGTCACAAACATGTTTAACCCACCACATTCTTTGTGTGTCAGTCCCAGGTCGGGTGCCTGTAATTCAGTGGTTGTTGGTTCATATTTAAATTAGGCTGTTAGTTTTCTTGTTTGAATTGTTTCACATATTTCATGTCAGGGCCATTTATAGCTTACTATACAGTATGAGTTTTTATATGACCGCAAAAATTTACCGTATAATGGTATGGCGAGGTCGTTGACGTTCGAAGACATTTGGTATCCAGACAATAACTTGAGCATAAGTGTATGGATTTGTATGAAATTTCACAAGGTTCCATACCACAAAAGGAAGGTTGAATTGAATTTGGGGGTTATGGCCATATCAGCTTGGGAATTTGGGGGTCAAAAAAGGGTAAAAAAACAAGCAACTTTGTTTGAATTGCTTATTTCTGACCAGTTTTAATGGGGTTCTTTGATATGCTTAATCTTACCATGTATTTAGAATTTTGATTTTGGGCCGGGTTTTCAAGTGGGTCTATATTACGGTGCTGAATTAAACTTGATTGATTTCAATATGCTGAATCTAATAATGTATTTAGATTTTGGGCACATTTAAATTGGTCCAAATTAAACTTTGATTTCAACAAAAATTAAATGGTAGGCGTTTTTAATATGCTTTATTGTTTATATTTGATCAATTTCGTTTGTTTCTTCTTTTTTTTTTTTACATTAAGAGTTACCTCCCTTACAATAATTTAGCTTATAATTTATGTCTTTTATCTTTGAGGTGATATGCAAATGATAAGCTCAGAAACCTATGCTGTGTCAAATATTCAATCAAAATCCCAACTGTTCAAGTTTCGACCTCTGCAGTTGTATCTAGCTGCACCCCATGGAACATTTTATTCTCATTGTTGAAGGCCGTACAGTGATCTATGATTGTTTACATCTCCATCATTTAAACTCTGGTGGGTAGTTGTCTAATTGGCAATCATACCACATCGGACTATTACACATCCATGTCATTTAAACTCTGGTGAATAGCTGTCTCATCGGCAATCATTCTTAATATAGGAAAACCTACCAGGCATATTGAAAATCATGAAAAAAAAAGAGGCAGAAGAAAACTGACAACGCCATGGCAACATAAGAAACACCACAATAAATTGTAAACATAACAATCTTCATTTTGAATTCCAGACCAAGCATCAAATCTACCATTAAACAGAAGCTGTATATGTTATGAAAGTTTTGATGGACAAGGTGAATGCAGTATACCATCAAATCCAAGAATGGGGTTTAAGATGCAAAACGTAAATTCTACTACATGTACATATTTTATTTTATTCTTTTTATGTTTTATAAGATGTTCATAAAAGTTTTACAAAAAAACATACTTTTATGCAAGAAGTTGAGATCCTTCAAATGAAATATTTCAATGAAATGAATATCCTTATTATCATGATTATGTGTGTAGATTTACAGGTTGCAATGAACAAAATCATGAATAATGAGGATTTTAAAAAAGATGATGTACCATTGAAATTACTGACATTAAAACTTAGTTATGTCATAACAATGTTATTATATGTGAAACAATGTTATTATATACAAATAACTTCTATATATCTACACTAAAACCATTCACAGGACGGTCATATCCTTCTCTTCTGTGTACTGATATATAATACTGAAGAAAAAAAAAGAATTGAATAATTAACATGTAGTAAAATAGTCTTTTTTGCTTATATCTACCTCTCTGATGGACAGTTGTCTCATTGCAATAATACCACATGGTCTTACTTATACACTAAGGTACTTAATGTGTTGCACTGTAAACTGCTTTGGTTTAGAACATATAAGGCCAAGTATTTTGTCTTGAGTTGTCTTTTTAAAACAATTGACACCATTCATTTTCTTCTTGCATTTAGTTTGTTTTTGAAAAAGATTTTCATTACTTTTACCATCCTGAATTTTCCTTTGAACAAAAAAATATAATTAACAAACTACTTTAATCTTATCCTTTCAGGATAAATGTTTTTAAAAATCAACCTTTTAAAACAATGTGAAATTACTACATTCATGCATTTCAACTTCAATGTTTTTTTTATAAATATCATCGGTTTGAGGAATTTTTTATTTCATGTCTTTTGTACCAGTAATAGAAAAATTAATGAAAAATATGTATTTTGTCAGTTACACATGGACAAATGGTTTCATGACCAATGACTGAAGGTAAGTTCATAGTAATTTTAGTTACAGTTTTTATGTGTGACAATATAAAAATAAGGAGATTATGTGCTGTTTACTTACTGATCTGAAGCTAAAACTTTTACATTATGTAAGAGGACTTTTTTCATTTTTTGTTTATTGTTTTTACATAAATCAGGCAGTTAGTTTTCTTGTTTGAAATTGTTTTACATTTGTTATGACAGTCGTTTCATAGCTTGCTATGCAGTATGGCTTTTGCTCATTGGTGAAGGCTTTACAGTAACCAATAGTTGCTATCTTTTACATCATTTTGTCACTGGTGGAAAATTGTATCATTGGCAACCATACTTAATTTACATCTTATTTTTATTTTATTTTATTTTAAGAATTAAAGTATGGTGTGTTTCTCAAAACTATTTGAATGTGCTAAAATACCAATGTAAACTGACCATTATTTCCTCTAATGAAGGCATCTCCATATTTGTTTTTCAACTGTCCATTCACATATTCTTCTGTTTGTTCTAAGGCAATATTCATGTATCCATCTAAACAAGCTAAGACACCTAGTAATTAAAAAAAGAATATATATTCTACCTTTACAACTAATGAACTTCTATTATAATTTCTAGCTTTCAAAATTATCTTATAGTATTCAGAAAAAAAAATCATAACAACATTTATATCTTAGTTTTATTGTAGTTAAGAAACCAAATGATTGTTTTAAAATAACATCTAAATGCATTATGAAAAGTGACTTGTCTACCATTTAGTTTAGTAACAGAAAACTAAAGAAGGCCAGTGGTCTTAAAAATAGTTAATTTACTGCACAATATCAATATTTGTAAAATATGTTCCTTTTTGGAATTTCTACAAAAGAATTGAAGATGTATCTTAATGTTGTTTTTGTAATTTTATTCATACATTGTTATGTTCTTGGCAGATCTTTGGCAGTCTCTCCAATAACTTATCTGTGTGTGGAACTACATTTGTAAATCATGACTTTTTTTTTAACCTCTGTGCAATTTAGAGCTTAACGTCTTTATGTTAACCTCAGGATGTCTTTTAGTTTTGGTGTCAATGGGTTGCTGACTCATGAAACATACTCACATTTTCTTTGATTTATACCTTGTACTGGAAAGGGCTAGATACTAGGCAGGGCCCTAATAAAGCCACATTTGTCTCTAAATGTTAACATACCTCTGTAATCCACACCTGAGTTCAGCTTAACTACTACAGGTCGGCCAATGATTTGTTTCAAAAACTCACTGGGAGTTTGTTTTCTACTCATACCTAAAAACAAAAAACTAAATTCTAGTTCAAACTATAAATTGAATATTGCTATATATATATATATATAGCAATATGATATGGTGTACAAATTTTTGCACCTCATGTTTGCGATATACCATCTTTTCCGCAAGTTTATTGTTTTCTGTTTGGTATTAAATTAATTGTTAAGATCCATATTACATCTGATGATAAATTTATTTGGCAATCGCCAATGGCAGTCAGCAGGGTTTAAGAACATCAGTTGTTCGACCTGTTAGTCAAATGTGTTTTGTTAAAATATACTTTTCACTTTTTGGTCTTTTGGACATTGTTGTTTGTATTTAGACCCCTCTACCAAGAAATTTGTTTTACATGCACACGTATAAAAATTGCTGTTTTTATCCAACGCAATCATAGGTTTGAACGTTGTTTTCAATTTAGACTTGGCTATATATATATATATATATATATATTAACTGTAGTAATGAAGATCTCGACAAATTTGTCATATGTAGGGTGTGAAACATGAAATATCTGGCATACATTAAATACTTTAAAAGATTCCAACAAATAACACTGATTTAATTACCAATATTTACAACTATTTGCATGTAACACTTTAATTGTCTGCTCAAATTTCATAGAACAAACATAAAATAGATGCTCTCAGAACTTTACAGAAAGGATGTGATCAACAATGAACGTCAAATTTTGAGTAATGACATATTTCAAGGAATAGTAGGAATCATATACCAATGTGTGTGTGTGTGTGTTAAAATTTAGATACAGTTCAAGGTATAATACACTTATCAGGGTTCTCAATAAGGATTTTTTGGACGTCCAGAAACTCATCATTTTTGGCAATGGTGAGTCCAACAGTATCAGAAGAAATTGTAATTGCTATATATCATTTATTATTTCTGTCCCCATGACAAAATAGAGCCAGGAAATGACATCAGGTTTAGATTATGTCTTAAACTTTTGTCATAAAAAGATGATATTCTTGCTCAGTTGATCATTGTTGATACAACATTTTACAATCTTGATTCATCTTTGACAGACAGATTTTCATGAGTCCAGGACTCATGAACTCGGCTCAGTGAGAACCCTGACCTATTATACAGCTAACTAAACTGGTCTAGAATTAGTTACACTGTACCATCAGAAATTGAATTGAATATTGTTTGACAGAAACTTTATTTGGAAATACTTTTGTGATCTTGCACATCTTTGAGCTTAGAAATGAAAGGCATATAACTAGTTATGTGTTTTGAGTGACAGTGTTTGAGTATGAGGAGCAGCTACAATAACTTTTTAAATCAAGCCACTGAATACTAGAAATTTCACCTTTAGGTCTTTTTTCATTATGTCATATTTTGATCCATTGTGTGTAGCCAGAAGAGGAAAAGGGATATCGAATGAAAAAAAAAACCTTAGCCCAAGGAGTCAGCAGCTCTTCTGTTTCTGAATCTGAACTATACAAATGAACTGTATCATGAGTTTATAATTATGTGACTTGAAATCAACAAGCGTATTGTCAAGTAACATGCATGGAGTTCCATTTTAAAATGTTTAAAACCTTTTATTAATTCTTCAGAAATTTGTTTTTTAAATCAAGCTAAGACATAAGTAGCTTTATGAGAAAAAGTTTTTTCCTAAATTGAGGACATCATAAAGATTGTACTGTACATGATGTACCTACAGCCATACCTTCCCATGACATGCTAACAAACAAAAAATCTGATTTGCCTTGTCTTAATCAACTCAAAACAAAACTGTTTCAAATAAAATAGAAATATTTGACTGAGGAAAACAGCAGTACCCACATTCCGGTAATTTAAGTTGTCTGGCAAGTCCATTCATTTGTTAACATAACATTAAATTAACCAATCCTGAGTCGCTATTATGAATAAGTTACACAGGTTGACCCGGGGTAAAACTGCGTAAATCATGATGTCATTGAACAATCGGTTCTTATTTTGATGTAATAACATAAGGTAGCAATACACAGTTAGGAAAATTAGTTTCGCATTTTGGCCCCTGTGAATTTTTCAAATATGAAAGTTATTGTGCAATAAAATTGATTTTTAGATAGCTGAAGCATAATATAGCCTTCAAAGTGGGTTTATATGAACATCAAGATTGTTTTTTGCATGTTTTATAGGCCATTTTCTGTTTGACAGTCCGTATTTTCACATCCCGTACCACCCATAGGTCCAGAAATTATTGTAGTGTTTTCCAAGTTTTTGACCCTCGAACTTTTCAATTCAGATTTATGGAAAAATGAGGAGAAGTGCATATGATTTTTATTTGACCTAAAGATGGATAAATGTCAATGTTTTCAGAAAAGGTAACACTCTAATGGATTGAAATTCTACTTTGGACCAAATTTAGGGGACTTTTATGACATTTTCACCCCCCTTTTAAATTTTGCAATATTTGTATCAAATAAATGCAGATTGTTGTCATGGTTACACCATAAAAATATTATATTTCACCATTTTAAATATTGGAAATAAAATCAATGGAAGATTCTGTTTCCATACATATGGACATATATAACACAAACATTACCTAAGCCTTATTTGTTAGAAAGCAAGGGAAAGACCAGGGTGGTTTAAAAATTATGAGTGTCAATTTTAAGTTTTTTTCCCTAACTGTGTATTAAATTCCTACATGTGTGTCACAAAAATGCTTAGGTAGCAGCTACCTAAGCATTTTTGTGACACACATGTAGGAAACCTGCGGTAAAATGCATGAATTGATAGTCGTCTATGAGAGCAATTAATTACCAGCTATAGATGACTTTCGAATTTGTGCACTTTCACGTAAATTTCCTGTCACAATGCTCATGTTAATACACCACAGTAAGAACCGATTGACCCGGGACAGACGATGTAACTCATTCATAAAAAAAACTTGATATTGGTGTATATGAACGAAAATTAATGGCCAGCAAACATATGCCGGTAATAATGTAATGCATGTCCTTTATTGCAAATAATGCCAGGTGATGACAACTAGTAACTGATGATTACAGGTCCTCCACCAATGCACCAATCTCAAGTTGCTTTTATTATGAATGAGTTTACACGGTTAACCCCAGGTCAATCCGCGTAAACAACGTCATTGAACAGTTGGTTCTTCCTGTGACGAAATAACACAAGAATTTCATTGATTGTGATATAGGAAATTTACGGGAAAGTGCAAAAATTCGAATGTTGTCTATACAAATGATGACTATAACCAGAAACATATGTACATATGCATATAAATGTCTCTGCTTAGTAATATTATAACTATCAAAAAATTCCATTATGGACTTCAAGTTCAACTGCCATAAAAAATATTCAATTTTTTATACTGTTTTCAAAATGATTTCAAACTTATTTGTGAGTTGAGAGTAAAAAAATGTTAGCCAAAGCTTAGCTTAAATATTGATATCATAACATACTTATAAATTACAATCTGTATACACTTGTCATGCCGCTTAGAATACAAGCTGTACTCTCGCGTTAACTGTTCTATCAAATATATTGAATCACGTGATATATCTCGCGTTATTCAAGATGTCTGCGCCCATAAAGATATTAAATTCGCTTCAGAAGTTGATATCTATCAATATAAGACAAATCAGCGCAGTTTCTAGTAAAGAAATATGTAACTTTCAATTTAAAGCAAATCAACGAATTAGACAATACCACAGTTTTAATTTTCTGACTCCACATTTACACACAAGTACCTTGTTTGCCAAAATCTCCATACGAAATCGACGGAATTATAGTCTACAACACAGAGAATGTTGGCGGTGTGGAAAACCAACAAACACTAAGGAAGACATATTTTTCTGCAGTTGTGGGGTTGTTCAAGCAGTTCACACACTGTCTTATTTTGAAATAATGAGCTTAGATGATAATTTTGATGTTGACACTACATTATTATCACAAAAATACAAAGAATTACAAAAGTTGCTGCATCCAGACAAGCACACATTGAAATCAGAGGTAATTATTTCACCTTCTCAGTGAAATCTTTTTCATTCTTTCTATAGGTATGAATCGTTGTTCTTTATGGGGTGCAGTCTAGCTGCAGAAAACATAACTCTAATATTAATGGTCCTTATGTTTTCTGATTTGTGTGATCTGCAATTTGTAAAATAAATATCATAAGGACCTAAGAGCTATGGCTCTGAATAGGGGGCAGATTTTTTGGATAGAGGTGGAAATAGTATGAAAGTACAGGAAATCCTATGCATGTTTCCAAGCAACTGTTCTGTTTTAATAATTTGTGATGTGTGAATAGTATTTTTTATGCCCCCGCCGTAGCGGTGGGGGCATTAAGTTTTACCCTTGTCCGTCTGTACGTACGTACGTACGTCCGTCCGTACGTCCCATAATTGGTTTCCATTCTCTAACTTGAGTTTGCCTCAACCAAATGTTATGAAACTTATACACAATGTGTATTACCACAAAACACAGATCAAGTTTGAATTTTGATGGCGTCACTTTAACTGTTCTAGAGTTATGCCCCTTTATAAATGGAAAAATTGCCAAATTTTTAGTTTTCTTCTAAATATCAAGTAATTTTTATTTTTTAAAATTGGAGTTATCTTCCTTTGTCCATGATTATAGTTGAATCAACTACAATCAATGCTTTATATATGCAATGTTTAATTTTGACTTCCACTGATAAAACACAGATCAAGTTGAATTTGGGTATTGTCACTTTAACCATTATTGAGTTATGCCCCTTTTTAATCGAAAGATTGCAAAATTTTTAGTTTCCATTCTGTTACTTAAGTTTGCCCCAACCAAACATTATGAAACCTATACACAATATTCATTACCACAAAACTATGATGAATTACAATTTTTTGTTTCCGTTTTCTAACTTTAGTTTGCCTCAACCAAATGTTAGGAAACTTATACACAACCCTTCTACAGTTATGCGTGTTTACAAATAGAAAAATTGCTGAATTTTTAGTTTCTGTTCTCTTCTTAAGTTAGCCTCAACCAAATGTTATGAGAATTACACACAATGCTTATTACCACAAAATTTTTGGGTAGTGTCACTTTTACCGTTCTTCAGTTATGTCCCTTTATAACTATATGATATGCAAGCGGGGGCATCATCTGTGTCCACATGTGGACACTATCCACATTTATTTATTAATATCTTTTAATATATCATCAAAGACATTTTAAACTTTTATTTTATTCACCTGTTCACTTTAACTTACTAATTTTATTTTAAATTATATTTTTCATATCGTAAATATAAAAATATCTGCTTTTTCGGTTAAGTATTTAAAATTTTAATACTCATTCGATAAGTGGAGTGCTCCGATAAAAACGGAGGAATATACCAGAACAGAACAGAACAGATGGTTTCCCGTATTTGCAAACCATTTTTTACCTCCATTATGAAAATCTGCCCCCTATTCAACATGGCTGCACTCACCATGAAGGGGCCTATTGTCTTAACTAAAAAAATACACATGTACAAACAAAAACATGCCACAAGTAAAGCTTTCAGCAAGATCTAACAAAATCTGAATTTTTTACTTATCATAATTTTTTAACCATATAAGAGAGGCAAAAGATACATATATACCAAAGGGGTATTCAAATTCATATAATATAAAAGTCAAAGTCAAACTGGCAACACGGTGGCTAAAAACAAAAACAAAAACAACCAAAAGACAAACAACAGTCTACAAACCACAACATAAAAAAAACTGCAACATGAATCCCACCAAAAACCTATGGTGATTTCAAGTATCCTAGAAGGGTAAGCAGATCTTGTCACCGGCTTAAGTACAGATTATGTGATAAGTCTTATTCAGTGGTATCGCATTTGCAGAAAAGAGGACAGAATTGCGGTTAAGACAATTGGAACATATCTGCATTACAGAGATTCCATAACAGTAAACCAACTGGTGATGGTATTAGTAAAATTTGATTTTAACTTCACCACTTGGAACCCTTGGTTTAATAGCTTCCTTGAGAGCAGCAACCCTCTATCAAAGAAATTATAATATTCTAAAGGGAAATGCAGGCTCTGGTATATAGTATCAACTGGGAGATATATACTCCATAAGCAGGCGCTACTGAAATGTTGCTACATAGAAATGGAAAGTTTGCAATTGGGAAGCTAAAATCATTTCTGTTGTAAAGTTTTGTTCTCAACCAACCCTCATTGTCAAGATGTGACAAATACAAAATGATTTAATCCCTTTGTGAGCATAAATAGAAGAAGGGTCGATTTTTGTCATGACGCTAAGGTGCTAAAAGACTGTCAACAACATGGCAGAGAAAACAAATCTTTAAAGTTTTTAATTTAGGTTGTTTATGAAAATAAGAAGATGTGGTATGATTGCCAATGAGACAACTCTCCACCAGAGACCAAATGACATATATAGAAGTTAAGAACTACAGGTCACCATTAGTATGCTTTTACCAGGGATCGATCCAGAGTTTCAGGAATGGACCTGGAAGGCAAACTTGTCTCTATTCTCTTGTCATTTCTTTAAAAGTAAAAAGAGCAAATGGAGAAGAAAAATTTTTTATGACAATAATATATATGATATATATTATTTGGTCTTTTAGAAAATGTTGTTTGTGCTGTATTTAGACCCCTCTACCAAGAAATTTGTTTTGCATGTACACATATAAAAATTGCGGTTTTTATCCAATGCAATCATAGGTTTGAACGTTGTTTTCAATTTAGACTTGTTTATATAATCATGTATATTGAATCATTATTTAAATATTCATCCCTTCTATACTTGATCTATATACAATGTATAAGAAGAAAAAATAAGAAGAAAAGTACTGTATTTTGATTTATTTTTCACATCAGATTTTCAACCCCCCCTCATTTTATGCTTGTACTAAGTCAGTTAAATGAACTGTGTGTTATAGGTTATTTATCTTGTTTGTGCATCTGTCTTTTTTTCTAGGAGTTGTGTGTTGATCTTTGGTGTGGTGTGTCATGCTGTCCAATATGTTTGGGAATTCATGTCATCTTTTTTTTTTATATGTATTATGAATAAAATGAGATGTAGGGAATGTACAAGACAACATCATAGTGATACAAATACTCTTAAAGAAAAAGGAACTCAAAATGTTGAAATAAAATTTCAAAAAATTGTAGAACCAGCTTAAAATTGATTTAAGTTGTTTTATAATCAAATGAAATTACACAAATTTATTTTACACAAGTGTTATGAAAAGAGCAATTTTATTGGCTGCTAATCTGTAAGTGTGAAAAAAAAATGTTCATAGAAATAGTCACTAAAACAATACACTTTAGTAATAAAAATTTAATAAATTAAATACAACCTTTAAAAATAAGGTAGGGATTTATTGAACATACAGTAAAAATTCTTGCCTTTTACTATGAATCTGCTTTAATTATCAATATATAATTGGCTCCACCTTTAAGTGCATGCACATCCTTAAGACCATTTTGTAGCTTCTAGTTTTCAATTTTTGTGTACTATTTTTATTATTGGGTGTGCCTGTCCTGATATTGAAATTTACCCCATATCTTCCTTAATTTAAAATTATTTTTGTGTATTGTTTATGATTCCTATATGTGTTTTACTATCTATTTTTGAATGAAAGAAAATTTAATTTATTAAAGGAAGAAAAAAGACTTTTTGAAGAGCAGTCATCTCTAGTAAACAAAGCTTACAGTACTTTGATAAAACCATTGAATCGTGCATTATACATGCTTGATCAAGCAGGACATCCAATTGAGGAACAGAATAGTGATGTGGATCAAGACTTTTTAATGGAAATCATGGAAATCAATGAAGACATTGCTGATGCTGATTCTCTAGAGTCACTTAAACCTATAGAAATGGTAAACAAGAAAAGGCTGGAGGATAACATTAGTAAAGTATCTAAAGCCTTTCAGGAAGGGGACATAACTGCAGCTAAACAGCTCATCATAAAACTGAAATATTTTACAAATATTGATGACAAAATCAAAGACATTTACAGAGGCCAGTTCTGAATTAGTTTTGTGTCATCTACAAATACATGTTGCACAACCAACCCAATGTCTTAAGGATCATATTGCATAACATTGTAGGCTCTGCAGTGTGGGTTTACCTGGATGAAGGGTGGGACAAATTGGAATGACTCTTGAATAAGAGGATATTTTTTGTAGGGGATTAACCTTGCAACAGGTCATCTACATACCAGAGACATTTGGGGCAGGAACCCCCTCAATCTGATTTAAATACATATCCTGTGTCATGCTTCTCTTACAAGGATCTGACAACACTTGTTCTGGTAATTATTACATTAGCCGATGAAATTCCTGCCTACAAATTTTCTAAGGTAGGTATCATTATAATAGAACCAGAGGAAACTGAAAGGTCTTTGAATCACAAAGTAGAACAGAGTGTTGTCAGATCCTTTTAAGCAAAGTGTAGACCCAGGATCTGTATTTTAATAAGATTTAGAACCTTCCCCTGTGATTTTTGTCTGTGATACGGGTATTCTCAATAAAATTAATTATTTAATATAAAAAAGAAGATGTGGTATGATTGCCAATGGGACAACTCTCTACAAGAGACCAAATGACGCAGAAATTAACAACTATAGGTCACCATACGGCCTTCAACAATGAGCAAAGCCCATACCGCATAGTCAGCAGCTTATTTTCATTTTGTTACTGTCCACAATGTTTGTGATTAGGACAATTGGTATACTGGAATATTTAAATTTCAAAATTGTATTATTCTGTCAAAATAATACAAGGACTAGACATAATTATGTCTGTGTCCACAGCTTATTTATAGACTACAAAATAATTTGAATCTTATAATCTACCTGTATATAAATTTTTATTATATTTTTCGTAAATTATTGTGCCTGAATATCACAAGTACACAACTTATAATTTTTAATTTAACTTGGAACATATATACATCTAACTCTCTGAGGTAATAACATAAATCTATCTTTTATTAATTTTTGTTTGTCTATACCTTATTATATATCTAAACAAGAATTCAGAGATAAATTATAGGTGAGAATTGGATTAGGATATCGCTTCATATCAACTCCAGTTACCTAATTTTTACTGAAACTAATAGAAAGGAAGGATATGATTCACTTATACATGGTTTATCAAATTTTTATACAGAATTGTTATAGCTAGTGTGGTGTTAAATAAGGCTGATTGATTTTATGTATGTGTGTGTATGAAGTGGAATGTAAATGTGTGTCACTGCAAGAGAGGGATGAACAGCTGGTTAGATTTCTTAATTTGTCACCTTATAAGTATTAATAAAAACTTTATATTTAGACTACTAATTATCACTGTCATATTTTGTCATGGATCCAATAGTTTTCTCTGGTTTGAAGTTGACAAATCCCATGTTCATCAATAACCACCATTATTGATGACTCTAAATCACTTTCATTAAGAGTTCCTTCAGAAAGTACAAATGGTTTGATAGATATAAGATCATAAACAAACAAAGACAAATCAAAACAAAATCTGAAGATCGACCCTACACAAATCTACCGTTAACTTGTGTCCACCACTATGGCAAGCGTTTAGTGTTACACACATTCTTAATACATGTATTGTCCAGCATAAAATTTTGTGTGATAAAGATTCAACAAATTTTTAAATACTTACCAGTATTGCTATCACTTAACTTCTGTTGTCATCATTGACTGACATTGTAATCTTTAAAAAAAAACCTCATCTGAAACCACTTAACCAATTTCATCTAATTTTGGGCTAAATGATCCTTTATAGTGTATCTAGTATAAATTTGATGGATTAAGATAGAACCTGATGACAAAAGTGCATCTTTTTGTCACATATCTTAATAAACAGCTGCGCCATGAGCGCATGATATGTCCGTCATCTTGTGTGTAAAATTTTAAGCAATAATCATAAATCGTTTTTGAGATACGACACGACATGTGAAAAACCCCTCCCCCTTTTTTTTTATAAAATACTCAATAACTCAAAAATAAAATTTTGAAACATCGCCAAAAAGTATACAGATCTTCAGGTTAATATAACTAAGAAGTGTGTAAAGTTTTAAGCAATAATCATAAACTGTTTTTTAGATACGGTGCGACATGTGAAAAACCTCTCCCCCTTTTTTAACAAAATACTCAATATCTCTTAAAATAAAATTTTGAATCATCACCAAAAAGTATACAGATCTTAAGATTAATATAACTAAGAAGTGTGTAAAGTTTTAAGCAATAAACATAAATTGTTTTTGAGATACGGCGCTACATGTGAAAAACCCCTCCCCCTTTTTTTACAAAATACTCAATAACTCAAAAATAAAATTTTGAAACATCACCAAAAAGTATACAGATCTTCAGGTTAATATAACTAAGAAGTGTGTAAAGTTTTAAGCAATAAACATAAATTGTTTTTGAGATACGACATGACATGTGAAAAAAAACCACACACCTGTTTTAGTTACTAAGTCCCGTAACTCAAAAAGTTTTAATCTTATTTTCACCAAAAAGTATACAGATCGTTTGACCATCATAAGAAACAACTATGTTAAGTTTAATGAAATTTGGATAAGTCATTCTCAAGTTACGGTGCGACATGTTTACGCCGGACAGACAGACGGACAAAAATTTGACGGGCGTATAAAAACCATGTTAGATCAAACAAAATTTGTATGCAATAATATCAGCAATATTCAATTGACAAAAAATGCTAACATCACAGTAACAATCATAGGACAGAGACATATATACACATGTGTATATATGTCTCTGCATAGGACTTCTAGGAGTTATTACTCCTAAAAAAAATTGATTAATTTTAGCATTTTTCTATTATCTTAAACTATAATGACATAATTATGGTGATAGATAAAAATTAAAGAGATATAGACAGCAAAAATCACTTACATAAGTTCTATAAATGCTAACATGACTGAAACCATAAATTGAGTCCTTGGAGTTTTAGTCCTTATGTGATGATTTGGACTAAATTATTTTTTTTGTCTCACCTGTGACGAAAGGCGCAAAATGCCTGACATAGGGATTACAATCCGGCGACATTGGTGTAAACTATTTGTATAAAGCTTTATATTTCAAAAGGTAGAAGACCTAGATGCTTCATACCTTGTAGGCAGATACCTTACGTTACAAAGTTTCAGTCTGTCATATGTCCATTGTCCTTTACCTCATCTTCATAGTTCAGCGACTGCTTGAAAAAACAAGTTTTGTTTTCATGTGAAATACTCGCTTATTATGAGTAATATTATACCTATATTTGGTATATAGGATCCTTGCAAGGTCTACATGTCAATCAGACAGGATACACCTGACCTTGGCCTCATTATATGAATCAGTTATCATGGTTAAGTTTCGTGGTCAAGTATTTCTTCTCAGATACTATAAGCAATAGATCAGCTGTTTTTGGGGATGGAATGATTGTGAGGCATACATGTCTGTCTGGCAGGTTTCATCTGACCTTGACCATTTTTCATGGTTTATTGGACAATGTTAAGTTTTTATGGTTTATGTTAATCAGATACTATAAGCAATGCTGTAATGTGTCAACTATAATAAGTTTATGGAATGATCGTTAGGGAGCAACCATTTAACTGTTACATTTTTTTGTCTGAGTCAGAAATTTTTTTTCGCGCCAAAACATTTTATTTCAGTTTTTTTATGCTATCAATCAAATTATTTTTTTCAAAATTTAACATAAGGTATGGGGAAAATCTGGACTTTTTTTTTGTCATCTGCTTGACCACAAATATTTTTTTTCATCAAATTTGGGTTCAGATTATTTTTTTTAGGAAAAAAACATTACCCCCGCCCCCTCCCCTTGAAGTTAAATGGTCGTTCCCTTAGGTGAACATGTTTGTCTTCAAGTTTCCCAGTTTGGTCTATTTCTAATATGCTATAAGCAATAGGGCCACTATATTTGGTGAATGGAAAGATTGTAAGGTGTACATGTATGTTTGGCAGATTTCATCTGACCTTGACCTCATTTTCATGGTTCCTTGGTCAATGTTTAGTGTTTATGGTTTATGTTAATCAGATACTATAAGCAAAAGGTCAACTCAAATTAGTTTATGGAATGATCGTTAGGTTAACATGTCTGTCTGGCAGGGTTCAACTGACCTTGATCTCAGTTTCATGGTTCATTAATTAATGTTATTTTTTATAGTTATTTCCGTTTCTCAGATACTATTAGCAATAGGTCAATTATATTCGGTGTATGGAATGATTGCATGTTGCCTCACAGGGTTCATCTGACCGTGACCTCATTTTTATGGTTCAATGTCCAATTTTCGTAATTATGTTTGTTTCTCAGATACCATAAGCAATAGTCTTATTATATTCGGTGTATGCTTTGAAATTCAATCATGACAGTAAAGCAGGCAGGAAATTTCAGCATGTGCACTCTTGTTTTGTCTTTTGAAAAATATAGCTAAACAGAAACGTAAACAGGTCACTAAAATGAATAGCAATAAAATATCTACAAAAATGTCTAGGTACTCTTGCTTCTTGCGAGGAACAAGCCCCTGATAAAATCTATGGTGTAATAGAAAGGCAATTTAGAATATTTAGGGGTGGTAATTTGAACAATTCCCTCCATGTATTTAGCAATAAAGATCAAGGGGGTGGGTGGTGCACCAAAAAACCAAATGGTGCAATGAAAAGGTCTTAATTGAGAATATATATTGTCTAGTGGAAAGGATCAAAACAGTTTTCAAGATACATTGTAGCTATCAGTTAAAGAAATGAAGGGGTGGGGTATATCACCACGGACAATCGTGCATAAGAAAGGGCTTATTGCAATGTAGAAAATATATAGTTAGTGGTTGAGTTCTCAACAATTTTTGAAATATCTAACAATTTATTAAGTAAGGGACAGGATCTGACCTCAGGGCTAAACCCTTATGTGTACTGAAAATGTCTTACTTAAAAGCCTTTGGCTGGAAGAATGACTTAGAAATTAATTATTTGACCTTTAGGTCAAACGTCAAGGTCACATGTACACTATACGTCGTCCCATATGCCAAAAATCAGAAGGCAAGCCTTTGCCTAAGGATAAAAAGTTCTGTTCATAATAAGAATATGCCCCTAAAACAGCCATTTTGATCTTAAAGTTAGTTCAAGGTCATGATGATACATGAAACACCATCCATTGGCAATTAATCTTCTTGACGTCAAAAGACAAAACGGTTTTGACCGGACATTGTATGGGAATAAAATTGAGAATGGAAATGGGGAATGTGTCAAAGAGACAACAACCCGACCATAGAGCAGACAACAGCCGAAGGCCACCAAGGGAACCATACAGAAGGTAAAAGTCACGATTGTATCTTCTGTCTTCGAAGGGAGATATGAAAGTGCATGTAAATAATACTCAAACACAGGATAGTACATTAAAAAGAGTAAATACATTCAAATACATGATAGCATCGCATACCATGAAAAACCAGCATGTCACCACAGTAAATACATGATGGCATCGCATACCATGACAAAACAGCATGTCACCACAGTAAATACATCCAAATACATGATAGCATCGCATACCATGACAAAACAGCATGTCACCACAGTAAATACATCCAAATACATGATAGCATCGCATACCATGACAAAACAGCATGTCACCACAGTAAATACATCCAAATACATGATAGCATCGCATACCATGACAAAACAGCATGTTACCACAGTAAATACATCCAAATACATAATAGCATCGCATACCATGACAAAACAGCATGTCACCACAGTAAATACATCCAAATACATGACAGCATCGCATACCATCACAGGCACTTGTCTCAGAAAAAAATTTCTTGTATACCTTGAAATTTTTTTCTGAGACAAGAGCCTGTGCATTCCATGACAAAACAGCATGTCATCACAGTAAATACATCCAAATACATGATAGCATCGCATACCATGACAAAACAGCATGTCACCACAGTAAATACATACAAATACATAATAGCATCGCATACTATGACAAAACAGCATGTCACCTCGGTAAATACATGGCAAACGCATAGGTGATTGAGGACAGGATCCTGTTATGAGCCCCCATAGTCTCTCCCTTATTATCATAAATCCTAGATTTTTCAATATATATCATTTATTTGTACCATATATATGTAGGACTCAAATCTATGGTGGGTTCCAGATCTATGGCAGATTATTAATCTAAGGTAAATATGACGTCATGCCATCCCAAATCTGTGGGAGATTTTTTAGAATCCTAATCTATGGCAAATTTTCTAGTTTCCTAATGTATGGCAGATTTTTGTTGTTTCCAAATCTATGG